GATTAAAAAACAATCTAATAATTCCAATTCAGTAAGTATTTGTTGAACTGCTGTTTTCTAGTTACCTATTACAGGTGATTTGTGGAGCTCAAAGATAAATTAAGATAGTTAGACATATAGAACAGAAAATTGTTCACATTTTGATGATGGGAACAGCCTTGAGGAGGAAGGGAGAGGGTTACAAGGTAGACCTAACGTAAACATAGTATCTCTCTGAGGACAGGCTGGTTTTTGAAACTATAAATAATGCTGCTTCTTAATGAATAATGAGGCAATGACACTCTTTCCTTACCTGCAAAAGGTGAAGGAGAGATGCTTGTGGTAACCTAGCTTGCAGAGAGTAGAGTAGTCATCTTCCATATGTGAGTGGTAGACTCTCTACTGTCCTTGGCGAGATCTTTGGCCAAGGTTGAACTCAACTATTTTGTTAGCTTGGCTGATTTTGAAAGTGATGTTACAGGTTTGCATTGCTTGAGAAGGTACTGGAGGGAGAGCATTCAGGGCTCTTTATCATCTTGCTTAAGGCCAAATAAAGCTGAAAGATACCTTCCTTCCAACTTCACTATTTTGTGAGCCTGTGAGATGCTCTGTGGTCAGAATCACAGCAAAAGGTATTCTTAGGCTTTAGTGAGTATGGATGCGCTTGGGCAAATTCTTCAGTCACGGTTCTGAATATCCTTGAAGATCTAATGGTTGGGAATGCTGCTCTCATGCGAGCTCTTGAGGAAGAAATTGTCTTAGATGATGTGGACAGGTTGTTTAAATAGTACTGGGTGCTCTCTTAAGGGAGAGCTTTGAAACCAAAATTTGAGATTGGTCTTCTCAGTTTTTGGAGTGGCTGAGTGGAGCAGGAGGCTGCTGAACCACCTAGGCCAGCCTCTGGGCTAGCTGTGATTCTAATTTTCCCAGTGTGTCAAACAAGCACCCTCATTTTCAATATAAGTCAGAAGATGAAAAAAGTTAGTGTTGCCCTAAAGCAGGGATGGGGAACCTTTTTTCTGCCAAGGGCCATTTAGATATTTATAACATCATTTGAGGGCCATACAAAATTATCAACTTAAAATTAGCTATGCAAAAAGCTCCTAAATTTATTGAATTTCGAGTCCCACCTGCGGTTGCCTTGGCAGGGCGAGACCAAGTGATTTTGTGGGCTGTAGATGGCCCATGGGCTGGACTTTCCCCACATCTGCCCTAAGGGATGTAGTGGTGCTTTGGAAACGGTTTTGGATGAGGAAGGATATGTTTTCCTTATCGGTCAGGGTCTTGGCTGCAGACAACAGAAACTTACTCTAGCTATTTCAGCCCACACTTGAGCTGTCTGGGGCTGTCCACGTCCAATTTACTTCCTTATTAATACACATTTGAAAGCACTTTCTACATAAAGCACTGAACTTAGGTATTAAGCATGTAAAGACAATTTTTTCTCTTAGGAGAGAAGATATTCTCTCCTGCCATGTAAATAATGTAAGATGTTTGATCATGCCTGGTTTCTATCCTGTTGTAGATAAAGGGGAGATCTGTTAATCTCTGCTATTGGTTAGGAATTTATTAGGTGGAGACAGTCTCACCAAAGGGGTAATTATAATCACAAATTTATGATCTATCTTGATCAATTACTTGAAACTCTGCTGTACTAATATTTTAATTCCTGTTAGCTTCTAACAATCTCCACAGGCCTGTTATGGTATAACTTCTTTCCTTATACCCTTTTCTTCTTGTGGAAGTTGTTGCAGGCTTTTGAAAAAAATTCATGTTGTTCTAATGTCTCTTTGTAGTTTTGTCATTAAAAATATCTAATACATGGCAACAGGTTTCCTTTAGGGTTTAGTTTTTGTGACCTTTGAGAAAGAGAAGTAAAGATGAGATAGACCAGTCCTAAAGAGGTTCTTAGAGAAAGTTAATGGGAGGAGAGATGTTTAAACAAATATAAAAGGCCCATGCCTACAGGTCTACAGGGAGCCTGGAGTACCCTCTCTAAAGTATTGTAGAAGTTGCCTCTTTCTATCCTTCCCTGAATCTCACCTTTGATTGACTTTCTGGGTTGTTCCTTTTCCTCCTCAGCACTGCCTTGTGAGTTAATCTTAAACTGATCATCATTTGAAAAGTTGGGGGGCACTACTGAGAACAGGGCATGTAACTTGATCTTACACTAAATCCCCTGGCACCAGCTTTAGGCTCTCAGTGGTCTCTGCTTAAAGAGGCTTTGAAGTTTTATGGAATTATTTAGTGTGTTTTGCTAGTGAAACATCAGAATATATACTTGGATAGTTTTCAAGATAGTTGAAGATGTTTCTGAAGTATAGAGTGTGTTTAAATCTAAATTTGCAGGTTAAGTCACATTCCATTACACATGTGCTTATTCATTTTTGCAGTAAATGTTCTTTGAAGACCCCAGTTTATTTTTGTATACATGTGGCTACAATGCTGAAAAAGAATGTGTGTATGTGTATTACATATTTTTAATTGTAGTGATAGATTTTGTTTGCCTGCAGAGGTTAGCTACTGACCCCTTAAATTGGGCTTTTGAAGAAAGGACCAATTTTGGTGTTTTTCTTTGGATAGTTATCACAATGATTCTTTGTTGTGTTGTTGTCCTGCCTTTGATGTTTGTCCTTTATGGTTTTTTCACCATATAGAGATCATGGGTGATGTACCCGGGGGGTTTCAGACATAATTCACATGACAGGCGGTGTTCAGCTTTTGATTTGGGGTGTTTGTGGGCATTGAGCTTATTCAAATTTATGATTGAAAAAGTTCTTAATTTTATCTTCAGAAACTTTGCTACATAAAGTAATATTCATAGGTTCCTGGGATTAGGACCTGGTATCTTTGGGGTCTGCTATAGTCTGCCTTCTGGCCCCCAAATATTCACATCTGCCCCACATGCAAAGTACATTCACCCTACAGGTCAAATCCAGACCTCACCTGGACATCATCAGCTCAACAGTCTGAAATCTCACCACCAAAATCATCTAAAGCAGGTATGGGTGAGACTAAGTACAGTCCATTTTGACACAAAATTCCTCTATCTGTGGACCTAGAAACAAGTTATCTGCTTCCAGGATACAGTGGGGGTCAGTCATCGGATAAAACTGAAGGGAGAATGGGAGCAGTTGATGGAAGAGAGGAGTCAGCAGTCGCGAGCAATTAAAAAACCTAACAGGGCAAAGTCCACCAAGTTTCAGGGGCTGAGAACAATCTGCCTTTAGATATTTCCTAAAGACAGATTTCCAAGAAGTAAAAGAGCACATTTATTTTAAAATTTTTCTTATATCAATTTACTTTTCCACCAACAGTGTATTGTACTAGTGATTATTTTACCTAGTCGCTTTGATCAATGTTATCATTAAAAATTTGTATGCATATGTATAAAATAAAACCCCTAAACTTTGACAGTTTCACATGAACGGAATTTTTAATTGTTTTTGGTTAGTGAGTGCCTTTCATAATTTTACTTTACTATTTATACCCTTGCCAGTTTTTCAAATTTTCTTGATTTGTGTGATGTTTTTGTATATTGGGAGCTTTTGATTTTGTATTGCAAGGATTTCCCTAAGTTTTCATTTTCAGTTTTTAAAGTTTTTTTGTAATATACAGAATTTTCTTTTCAATACAGCCATATCTACCATTTTTCATAGAGTATCTGTTGCATGTATAGTTTGAATGTCCTTCCTTACTCGCTGTCAAATAAACATGATTTTCAAGAAAATATTTGGTACCTGAAAGGCAAATTATGTGGAAAACTGATGTCATACTGTGCTTACTTCTGAAAATGATGTGTCTGGTCTTCGGAATTCACATCCTGTAGAAGGCCCACTCCTGAGAGCTGCTGCGGAACCCTGGCCAGGAGCTCTGTGCATTCTGCAGTCTTGTCCAGCTAGTGTGCACACTCAAACTTTCAAACCCCATCGGAAGTACCGGGCTGAACAGGTTGAGCTCTCTAATACATCTTTTGAATCTACAGAGGTGGGAAAGTGTCTGGATTGCAGAGATGTTGTTTGAGTAGGTAGATATATATATAATAAACTATGAAGAGTGAATGCTGGAAAAAAGTATCCTTAAAATGTAATGAAACCAAGATGGGCTTAAAAATGCTTCAAAACCCAACTCTGTTACAAAGGTTCCACATACTGGAATCCTAAAGAAATGCCTTATAAGACTTATTGACATAGAATGAAATATGGTCAGTGGCTAAATCATGTTACAAAATGGTACTATGGTCTGATTTTAGTTGTAGAGAAAAAAATAATGTCTGTCTGTATAGATAATAGTTTGCAATAGACAATGATTAGTCTGGGGTAATTGGACTTTTAAGTGTATATAAATATTTTTAAAAACCCTATATATTTTATAGGTGTATATATAATATATATTTTCTGTTTTATCTTTTCTGAATTTTCTGGCTTTTTGTAATGGACGTGCTTTGCTTGTTTAATATAAAATATTGGTATCTTCTTCCTTCCCAAAGAAATTGCTCCAAGTAGATGAATATTTGGTATTCCTTTGTTATTAATTTGAAGTTGACTCTACCATGATATTTTCAGCCCATTGTGGTTGCGAATGCTTCAGGTTCTACACTCAGTTATTTATATTACATTTGAGGGAAAATGATTTTTATTAAACTAAGGCATTAAAGTGTAACACTGAAAAGGTAGTAATTTAGCATTTTTCAATATAATGGCTGAGGTAAATGATTTTTATGGTGGTATTTTCATTTGCAAAAGTTAGCGTCTCTGAAGAACATAAACTTGATGCTCTGAGCATTGTTTTCTGTTTTACTGGAGCATAGTGAGTGATTTATGGATAGTAACAACTTTAGATCATTTTTATTTACTTTTTCTTAATTCTGGAAATTCTTTGTTGCCTTTTAAAATACTATATTTACTATATGTTAAAGCAAAATTTTCTGCCTTTTGGTATGAATTTCTTATGCCCTCAGAATAGTACCTGTTTTATAGTACTTGAAACTTTTACTTTTTATTTGTTATTTCTTAGGTAAACGCAAAGCACTGAAGTTGAATTTTGCAAATCCACCTTTCAAATCTACAGCAAGGTTTACTCTGAATCCCAATCCTACCGGAGTTCAAAACCCACACATGTGAGTATTTCTGTAACCAAGTAAAAGGCTCAATTCAAGCAAAGGTTTTGAAAGTTAATGTATTTTATGGATTTTTTCTGAGTTGAGGGATTGGTATTTCCATTATTTTTATGGGCCATTTGAAATATTACCATTTGAACTTAAATAGAAAGCTATTGGTGCTGTAGTTTGAAGTAGGTAAACACAGTTTTCCTTTTTAAAGTTTAAGGAAAAATAGCTAAAGATTCAGATATATTTATATCTTTTTAATTTCTCTCTCACTGAACTGAGAATATTGCTCATGCCTTTCATTCTAGATTTCCAGTTAAATTGTAAGTGGTATTTAGGAAACTTAATTCTTTCCTGTAGATCTGCACTAATCATCCCCACTGACTGGGTGACAGACTAGATTGCTGTTCTTAACAAACTGACTTCCTCTGAGATTTCCATGTCACAGTAAATTGAAACTGTGTGTACATATCAGTGTACAGGTGTCAGTGATTATTCTTAAAATTTGTTCCCTGAATATTTTTATTGAAAAATAGATACTGTGTTATAACATCTCACTGAAATTGTTAGAAACATCTGTTAATTTAAATAATATCTTCAGAATAATATTTTACAGAAACCTTTGATTGAATTGAAGTGATGTATTAATAGATAATGCCTTCCCCGCACCCAAAAACCTGTCGTGAACAGAGTCAAAAGTAGTGGGTTTACGTTTTATATTCATGTCCATAAAAATAATTTTCACCCACTTCTGATATTGAGAACTATAAAGCAAGTGGTGAAAGGTATGGTTAAAAAAACTGTCAGAATAAATTATTTTATAGTTTTTAATAATTTCTCAACAATTTGTATTCACACCTTATTAGTCTACAAGTATATTTATTCTTCCCAAAGAGACACATTTATTGCTGTTTTCTCATCTTTTGATGTTAGGTGTGCATTGTAACAGATTGGTAGAAGGAAGGGTGTCTTCAGTGGGAATACTGAAGATACTTTACTGTTACAATAGCAGCCTAGAAGGGAGTAATGTGTGTTCATGTGTATCTGCTCTTAGACTTTCACCTATGACCTAAGGGAATGAAAGAGATTTTAAAAGAAAGCTGGAGGGACAGTTTATTTGACTGGGAATAGTGTCTTCCAATTTAATTAGACTGATGCTCATAATGGGATTTTTTCAGAGCTCAGCCTGTAGTCCCAACCTTTTTACCTTCTGAAACATCAAGTGGGGGTATAGTATTGAGGAAGGAAACTCTTAGTACTTCTCAATTAGTCAGAGCCTCAGCAGCAAGGAAACACTCTCAGAAGAATTTCCTTCCTCCTTTCCTAGAAGTTTTAGTGAAAGCTGTTATAAAACTAATTGTTGAACATAGTCTATTTATCTTGATTGCTAGCTGAACATATATTTGAAGTCTAAGAAGGAAAGGTTATGCGATAATCACCAAACTTAAGAGAGATTTCTTCGTCTCTTTTTTTAAAGCCCTTTTGGACAAAGACAAAGACAGCCTGACTTATATTAGAACTGGAAAAACAGTCACATAGATTGGAACTCTCTTCCCTCAAGAGTTTCTTCATGTATAGGGAATTCATGGACAAAAATCTTCCTTTTTTTTTAAATTAACAGTAAACAGTAAAAAGGGTGAAAAAAAGCTTTCTTCTAAAATTCAGCTCAATCAGATGTTTTTTTGTTTTTTGTTAAACCTACTTCGTAGTAATCCTATAACCAGCTAGGTTTCTTATCCTTTGTCTCTTCCCAGCAGGTGTTAAAAGTTTGAGAGGGCAACGTAGTAGGCCTTTTTGGTAGGATCTCTAGAATTTGATTGTGGTGTGTAAAATTTTAGACCCAGACTTTGTGTGAATTTTATTACTGCACTGGTTTATTATCTGGATCTGAGCAGCAACTTCCTGCTTAGATATTGGTCAAAGACAATTGTGTCACTGCTTAGAGCAGCGTGTCTCCTGTGTCCTCCCACCCCTTTCGGTGAAGGAGTCGTTTTGTGTTCTTACTCTGAATTGTGTCCTGTCAGGCACTAAAACTACTGGAGGCTACTGTTTAGGGTAAGTAGTTTGCAATTAGAAAATATAACTTGCAGTTTTTGGGGGCTTTGAGAAAGACATCTCTGTACTATTTATATGTGTTTCCTCTTAAAATTTCCTTCAACTTTAGTTACAGATATAAATAGAAAACTTTTTCATGAATTTAGGGAAAGATAAGATTAACTATAAGCAACTAATGATATTAAGATATGTCCAGGGAACAAGTTTCAGATCATTTGGCATTTGATGCCTCCTGGCTGCAGTGTTCTGTAAAAGATTAAAAAAAGAAAAAGAAAAAAAAAGGCTGTCCTTATTTTCTGTGAACCAACAGCTTAAATAAGTTTTAAGAACTGGTAGTTGACTGTAGCAGTTCAGAAGTAAGGTGTAAGGTAGTACAGATTGAATGGCAAATGAGTGGTGCAGCAGGGGTAAGATCACTTTAGATAAACAAGTTGGTGAAAAGTTTCACAAAGGGAACAAGATTTGAACTGGATTTTGAAAGACAAGTAGAGAATAGGTGGGCATAGATGGGTGGAGAGAAGGGGGCATGGCATTGTGGTGAGTGTGAGTACAAGGTAAGTTTTGGGCACCATGTGTAGATCTATGTAATTGTAGCAGAGGTGTTATGTATGTATTACCTCTTTCTATCTCTCACTGGAAACTTAGAATTTTTTCTTTATTCTTGGTATTCTGTAATTATGTGAGGATGTGCTGAGGTTCGGATCATCTTTCTCTGTGTACTCTGGCTGGGGCTGGTTTTCCGAGGATGTTGGATTTCTTGAATTCCCTGGGCCTCTGACTTTTCTTTCATATTTTCCATCTCTTTGTGTTTTTTGCTCTGTATCCTAGGAGATTACTTTTATATTGTGATTCTAATTTAGGATACTGTATTTTGATTTTAATTTCTATGAGTTGATTGTGGCTTTTTTTTCATACCTTATTCTTAATTTATAAGTGTAAAATCTGGAATTTTAAAGTCTTTTCTGTCCTCTAGGTCACTTATTTCCTCAGAGGTCAGTGTTTCTTTTATCCTTGTTGCTCTGCTTTGGGTTAGGTCTTCCCCACACTGCCTTATAATTCTTGATTGTCCCTAGATGGTTGAGGGTGAGGAAATTACTGATTGGTTACTGATGGTCGACTGGTGAGCTTGACTTTAGTTTCCTGTGAAAGANGAAAGCCGATTGGAAACTGTGGTTACTGATGGTCGACTGGTGAGCTTGACTTTAGTTTCCTGTGAAAGATTTGAGAGCTGGCAGTCAGGCCCTGAGTATTCTACATGCCAGAGTAATAGTAGGACCACATTTGCCCTAGGAGGCCTAGTTCTTCCCAAATAGTGTGTTTGTTTTCTTTAGAGACATGCTCTTTCATTATTATTTTCAGGGGAGGGTAGAGAGGAAGGAGGAGCTGACTGGACCCTTCTACAAAGGTTTTTAATGAACTCATCTGTTTCTAGGCCTCCATGCCTTCCAGCTGTGATCTCCTCTAAGGTTCTGTTTGGACTGTTTATCTCTCATCTCTGCTGTATGCTCCCTCCCACCATGTGTATGGGCTGTAGTTTTATTACTGTTTTTTAAAAATCTTTTGTTATGGAAAGTTGCAAATATATACAAAACTAGAGAGTGGTAGGTGAATCTGTATATATTTATCAATCAGTGTTAGCAGTGTCAGCAGCTAATGCAGCCAATATTGTTTTTATCTGTTCCTCCATTCCCTCCCCCCCCCTTAGTTTTAACCAAATTTCAGACCTGTTATTCCATCTATTCATATTTCAAGGTGTGTTTCTAAAAGACAAGGACTCCTTTTTAAAAACATAATCACAATATGCCATTATTACATTCAGTAGAATGAATAAATCTTGACTATCATCAAATAAGTACATTACTTCAGTTTTTATTTTTTCTTGAATAGTTTGAAGCAGGATCTAAACAAGGTCCTGCCTGCAGCTGGCTGATAAGTCTGAAACTATAGAGTCCTGTCTCGTGGAATTGATCAGTTTTACTTTGTTTAGACATTTTGTCTGCTTTCAGGCATTCAGAAAATTTGTTTAAATCTGTTTTTCATTACTTTCTTTTTTGGGGGGAAAAAATCGTTCTTTTTATGTATGTCCTTGGAGAGTAGAGAGAGAACCTGAACAGGAAACCTTTGATTTTAATTGCTATTGGTTAAAATTATTATAAACATTTCCAAAATATAAAAAAATGAGTTTATAGAGACTCTGACATCTACTCCCTGGGTGTAATAGATGTTAGCATTTGCCCCTTGGCTCTTTAAGTGAAACTTAAGCTGTAAAACTAAAGAGTAAAAGGAAAAATGCAAGGAAAATGTATGGCTGCCTTTTAAATTTCCACCAGAATTGGCTTATCTATGCACTGTAGTCTTTTTAATACCCAGGGGTATTTTACAAATGTGACAGGCTTGTGCTAAAGTCAGGTTCTCTATATAACTCGACATGAGCAGTAAGTAGCAGATATTCTGTTACATTCTATGCTTCCCTCATGCTGAAAATGTGTGAATGATCTCAGTGTACTGAGCCATTTAGAATGCACCAAGTACAATTGTTACTCTGAGAGAACAGCCCCTTTATCTTCACAGCGTCTCAGATCCATCCAGAAGAAACGCTGGCTTAAAAGCTAGCACAGGGAATGAGGAACGATGCACACTGGTACATTTTGGGGCGTAAGCTAAACAATTAGGAACCATATGTTCTGGGTTTGTTGAGACCAAGAGGATCTCTAGTATCTCCTTTATCTTTATTGCATTTGAGCAGAAAAAGGCTCAGTTGTGCTACAAAGCATCTAGGATGTTTTAAAGCCCCCCAGTTACTACTCATCAGTATTCTTCATTCCACGGTGAGCCCTCTCAGTAGAGCTCTATCTTAAAACTTGAACAGTAATTATAAATTATCTAGGCACTTATTGCAGGTTAAATTGTGGGAATTTTATCTTTTAAATGCTATTGTCTTCGATTAACTGTTTTAG